TTGGTCAAGTTTGCCTTACTAAACACGTTTTCGGAGTTGACGGTAATGGAGAAAATAAGTTTGATTCGACCTTCACTAATCGAAAGGACGACGACGTTGAAACAGAACATGGTCAGATTAGGTGACAGGGTAAATGTGGCTAAAATGCTCATAAGTTCCAGGTCGGATTGTTATCTTTTACTGCATTTTATTTAAAAAAGTTGCAGAAAATATTCTCTCACCTGAAATTGTGATCCCATCGTTTATTTAATTTCTGCTAGTCAGACTCTTGATATTTGGATGCCACCAGAGAGTTATAACTACTACCAATGCATAAATCGAGCGAAGAAGGAATTTCGTACGTCCCCAAAGCTTTCTTCTCCAACAAGTAAGCTTTTGTGATCCACCAGTGAAACATTTTAGATAAATTGCAAGTTTCATTTCTTGCAGTGAATAAAACAGCCACAAATGGCTACATCCTTGTTCATTCCAATGGCGGATTGAATCAAATGAAGCTCGGGGTACACATTAATAATCAAGCTAAGCTTTTGTGTTTTCGGATTTTCCAATTCGGTATATATTTATTTTTCTTGTTGCTTCTTATGAACAAATTGCAATTGCAGATAAGTGATATGGTTGCCATAGCAAAACTTATGAATGCCACTCTTGTTCTACCTTCTTTAGATCACAGATCCTTTTGGACTGACCCAAGGTTAGCATCAAATCAACTTATTAACTGATTATTGTATGTTTATAATTAGATTAGGCTATTGTAATTGAGTTTTTTTTTCCTTCTCAGTGACTTTAAAGACATTTTCAATTGGAAGAACTTCATGGAAGTTTTGAGAGATGATATCATGATCGTAGAGTCTCTTCCGCCGGAGTTTGCAAACATGAAACCCCGCCATAAGGCTCCAGTTTCTTGGTCAGGGGTATGATCAACGTTGTCAGTACCATTTTCAACAAAACCAGTTGGTTTGATTGTTTGAATCTAACAATGTTTAACAATTTGTGACCAGCCCAGTTACTATAAACAACAGATGGCGACATTATTGAAGAAGCACAAGGTTGTCAAATTTATCTTCACAGATTCCAGACTTGCTAATAATATTGATAGCTCAATCCAGAGACTCCGTTGCCGCGCCTTTTATAAGGCACTGCGCTTCGCAGTTGAAATCGAAGAGCTTGCAATGAATTTGATTTACAGATTAAAGAACAATGGTGGCAAATACATTGCTCTCCATCTAAGGTTTGTCTGGTTAATTAAAAAAATAGGATATTTAACATATTTTTGCTGTCCAAGTAACGTTTCTAACAAGTGATCAGAATGTTACAAACGCAGATATGAAAAGGACATGCTTTCTTTCACAGGCTGCAGTCACAATCTCACTAGGGAAGAAGATTTAGAACTCGAAATGATAAGGGAGAAGACGCCACATTGGAAGCACAAAAAGATCAACGGTACGGTGCAGAGACACCAAGGGCAATGCCCCATGACCCCAAGAGAGATTGCTGTTTTCCTTGAGGCAATAGGGTTTCCTTCGGATACAAAAATTTACATAGCTGCAGGTGAAGTCTACGGGCAAGACGGGCTAACATCACTGCAAGCCAAGTATCCAAATCTATTTTTCCACTCAAATTTAGCATCCGAAGAAGAGTTGCAACCTTACAAGGATAAGCTCAATCAGCTTGCCGCATTAGATTATATTATAGCAGTTGAGAGTGATGTTTTCATCTACTCTTACGATGGAAACATGGCCAAAGCAATCAAAGGCCACAGAAGATTTGAAGGGTTTAGGAAAACAATCAGCCCCGACAAGTAAGCACGATTCTTTCCCAACTAATTTCAGCTTAATCTTCACTCGCACTCTATCTAACGAGAAAAACTTACTTGTTACGTGTTGCACAACCCCTTCTCAATATCTCTCTCGTAATATGGTGATGTGGCGAGAGATAGAGGGGTAAGTAACATGTTTCATTGGGAGTTTCGTATCTGACACACTCGATGTTACTTGCCTTGCAGACAAAGATTTGTTAGATTGATCGATAAGTTAGACAAGGGTATGATAACTTGGAAAACATTCTCGTCCCGAGTTAAGAGGTTACACAAAAATCGGATGGGAGCACCATATCCAAGAGTGCCCAGAATTTTGCCTAGACTGGAGGAGAACTTTTATGCGAATCCATATCCAGGTTGCATTTGTGAAAGGACCAATGAGCCAGCTTCATCACCAGTAGGGAGATATTCATCCAAATGACATTTTCCTTTGTATAATGTACATACAAAGTGTATCATATATGACGACAATTGAAAATTAGATTTAGCATGTTTTTCTTTTGTATAAACATTGCATGTTATGATCCGTGCGCGGTTCTGATTATAAACCCGGGACAACGATTTCCACACTCGTATTTTTCGTTTGTAGTTTTACTTTTTTTCTATCGTTTGATTTTCATTTTCTTTAGTCAATCACAAAAATAAGTGAGAGAATTGCAATATAAGCATCGAGATTTTAAATTGCCAACATAATGCAGATTGTGGGAGATTCAAACTGGCTTAACTCACATCTACCTAACACCCTAAAATTTTAACTATGACGATTATTACAAGGCCCACTATGACCAGGCCCAAATGAGGTGATCCAGCAAGAAAGCTTAACCAGCCCAACATTTAATTAAACTGGCAACAAATTACAAAAAAAAAAAAAAAAAAAAAAACGAAAGGGCACGTTCTACTTTGTTCCTGGAGTCTCCGTTGTTGGAAGCCTTTGGCTTTAGCATTTTCCACCTCCAAGTCTCTCCCTCTCCTGAGATCAGGTCCTCGCATTCAGGTTAGTAACAAGGGTTTTCAATTTTCTTCCTTAATCTCTGAAATTATTACTTGGATTTTTATCAATTTCTGAATCACATTCATAATTTGCGAGCTAAATCTTCCTACTTTTCGTGTTTACCATAGCTGGGTTATTCTTGTAATTACTTGTGCCATTGAAGCTTGGTGGGTTCAAAGTTATGATTTTAAAGCTTCAATCTGACATGGGCTTTATTGGGTTTTTGAGGTTTTACCGCACTGCTTGAGGGGATTCCATGTTTCCTGGGTTGCTAGGTTTTGCATCCTTTTTTTGGGTTTGGTATTTAGGGTTGTTTAAAAGTGAGGTAATTGAGTAGTAATCTCTCTTAGTTACTGTTGTCTCTGTGGCAGAATGCTGCAAGTCTTCATTTTTCTGCGAGTGTTAGAATTTATGTAAAAGGGGTTGTTTTGTTTGTGGGTCATTTGATTTGGAGCTTAAAATAGTTTTGCTCTTTTAAACAAATTAGAATAGTATAACCGATTGATCTAAGGTTCGATAATGATCAGCCTTGCGTTGTTGCGTTAATCATGACGAAATCTTCCTAAAATACTGAGGGCAGAGTTCGTGTCAATCTACTATTTTAGATACAGGGTTCCATTCATTGTAAAAGTTTTATATATTTCCCAAAATTATGTTTACGGAAGTGAGAAGGCACACAATGAGTGCTTTGCTGTGCATGATTCGGCAACATGGTCTAGATCTACTTCGATTTTGTAAGATATGAGGGATTTTCTCCTTCAAATAGATGCAGACTCTTCTTTAGCCATCAGAACGGATTAGACAACTACTGAGCGGCATTTAAGCACTCATCTCAGGATACAGTCATACCATTTGTGCTGAAGTTGCCACAAATCGAAATAAGATTTGAGATTATGTGAACTTCGTTATAAATATTAAAACTAATTTTTTTTTTCTCAGAAGCATTCGGTGCTTTCATTTCCGCTGTCATATCTTTTGAGTTAACGCACATAATGAGTTATTTAGCTGGTCTCCTTTTTCTCATTTACGTATTAGATTGAAGAGGGGATGGGGAATGGATATTAATGCCTAAAAATCAAAGCCATATGTCGTTGTATGAGACAAACGCTTCATTTTTCAGGTAAATGGGTCTAGGTACACTACTTGAAGGCTTTCTGCTTCTTGCAAATGCACTGGCGATTTTAAATGAAGACCGCTTCCTTGCGCCTAGGGGATGGAGCCTCTCAGAATTCTCAGGGGGCAGGACGAAATCAGTCAAGGGACAGATTATAGGTCTCATCTACGCAACACAATACTTGAGAGTTCCTCTTGTGCTACTCAATACTGTCTGCATCGTTCTAAAATTGATATCTGGATGATTCCAGATGAGGTAAGATATATATCTATGTCTAAGTACAGAGTGTATAATATTATCCAAACAAATTTAGTCTTGAACTTCTGCTATGGTGAGGTTTGTTAACAACTCTGGTTATGTTTGTATTCTAGCATTCTTATCCCCACTGCCCCGAGCCAATAGCTCCTGGTTTGCTGGAGTCGTATGCATTTGACGATTCAATAGTGTTTTGTTAACATATGAATATGCCATAATGTGGCTTCACTCGACATTAATAAATCCAACAGAGCAAGAGAAGATTTGGTTAACTAGAAAAGTATGCTTTTTCCAAGTAGCAACAAATTGGTGCCAAGCTATTTTTTTGGCATCCGTATTTTGCACTGGAATTGTTGGAACTCTTAGCTTTAGTATTCGGGATTGTTGGAACTCTTAGCTTCCATATCGAAACTTAATTGCGTTTTTCCTTCTGAACGGATGCAGGTTATTTGTTGAGAAGATTCGTCGAATTGATATTAGGAATCGGCCAAAATGGATCTCTCGTTTCTCGGAAGGCTGAAGCATGAGGTTGATGGATATTGTTTGAATGTTGTATTTTTGAAATAGTTCTTGTTCCTCATTGTTCAGAAGCTATTTGACTTTAGATATTAATTGGCTGGTCAGGCCCTCTCAAGGTGAAATTCATTTTTACGGTGTAGTTTCCTCGAAGATATTAACTTTTCCAACATTTTAACGCCAAATTCTGTCCCCGTAATTGTTTTTGTTACATTTTCGTCCTTGTAGTTTCGTTTCGTTTCAAATTTAGTCAAATGTATCCGCTAATTGATTTTTATTCGTTAACTATGCTATAAAATGCTCAATCCTTGAAGAACAAAAGACGTAACTAAATGCCAATAGCAAATTAAATACAATTGTGGGATCAAATGGCAAAAAAAAAAGAAAAGGGGGAGGGGGAGGAAGAAAATTATTCATAGATCAGCAAATACGTGGTAAGTTTTGGAGTCTACGGCTATGAGCCTCAAGGCTGAAATCAAAGCTGCAACAGCCAAAAGGCCGAAGAAGCCGACATTCAGCCAATGCCAGCACTTCTGTGCAGAAGTCAGCTTCTCCTTCTTTGCCACCAAATACATGTGGTTTGCAAGAATAAATGTGAGGGGGAATGTGCTTATGGCTCCTGTGAGGCTCATGAAATCTCCGAGGAACGGCAGCAGAGCCGAAACCAGCGTGTTAATCGCCAAGTAGCCGCCTCGAACGGTGATTCTGAATGTCAAGTTCTGAATTTTCAGTGGACTTCCTTTGATGCCGAACTTTGTATCCAGATATTCGTACATTGGACTTGCAAATATCTGCAAGCAGCGGTGGAAAAAAGCTTGTTGGGTTAGTGCATTTTCGGAAAGTGAAAGAGAGGGGGTCAGAAGGAAGAAGGTTTACATGCAGGGCAATGACTGTTTGCAGGAACGCAGCAAAATTGGCCATCGCCTTCACCCAGACCGGTCCGTTGACGTTGTTGAGCAGATAAGATGATGTGTTATTTCCATATGCCCAATAACCTATAAAACAGACGGCATACAACGGCAAAACACCGGCGGTGAACTGAAAGTACAGAGCCTTCATCATGTTGTCAACCACTGGCTTCCTCACTGTAGCCTGTCACATAATCACAGCCAAAACAAAATTCAGTGTGGAAAGCCTTCCATAGACAGGCGATTGTGGTTTTCGCAAGATTTCTCATTACTCATGTCAGCGTTCTTGAGAAAACTTGAAAGATTGAAGCTTTTGGTACCTGTATCTCTGGTAGCATTCCCGTGTTGAATGCAAAAACAAGGCTAGCAGCCGCTCCGATTGTGGTAAATATTCTGCTTGTTGATGACCCTGGGATGTCATAATCCCTGGACGGTGCTTTAAGTCCTAGAACAACATAGCTGTTGTTAATGAAAATCCAACGGTACAAAGTTCTTAATTTAAAGCAAGAAAATGGCCACGTGCATCATCCAAATCGACCTTAAAGCGTGAAACATCCAGAAATTTTATACACTTGTTCAAGTAGTACGGAAGAAAGAACGTGAGATGATCCTTACCATCTTTAAGTGACAGAACGATTGCTATAACAATATACATCAAGCTGAAGACTGTTGAAAACCCCAGCCAAATCCTCAGAGCTGACAAGTGCGGTATACTTATGGCAAATACAGCGCACACAAAGCCAGAAATGGCAATAAAATGTGGTAGCTTCATGGTATGGTCATCCCTAAACAGAACATACACAGCCTGCACACGAAATGAACGACTACAAGTTTTAGGAAAATAAGACATTAGCCTGTTCATATATGCACATAGTACGATCTGATCGGAGTTAATATGCAATGTGCTCTCACCTTGAGTGCCTGACCAGCCAAGATGATAAAACCAGTGTTAATCATGAAGAGATTGACATATTGCAATCCCCATGTCAGAGAGTAAGCTTTCTTGCCTGCAATGAAATAGCCCCATCAGGGAACAATACAGCCAGGAAAGAAGAAATCGAAAAGGTAAATACAACAATAGAATCAGATCAATTTTTTGCTTTTACTATCCTTTTCGCTCGTACCATATATAAATCCAGCAAGGTCCCTGTATCTGATGTGCCTAACCCCTCCATACTCATGGAGCTTGGCAATGAGAGCATTTGCATAGAGTGATATTGCAGTGGCTAGAATTAAACCGATCACACCGCCGGTCCAACCAAGAGGAATCATGACATTTCCTGAGTATCCCAGAACATACGCACTGTTGATACCGGTGGTGAGGACGAATCCCACTTGAAACCATGAATCTGTGGAAACCAAAGAGGTAACATGAGCTTACAACGAGAGCAATTTCAGTACCAATATCACAATTCACAAAGCTATCCGAAATCATTCGGAATTACTTCATTACACATGCACTAAATTCCCAAGAACCACAATTCGAAAAACTATAAATTCACGAACTGCAATCCGGAATCCAAAAACTGAAACATTTTAGGAACCATATGAACAAAATTAGAAGAAAAAACGATTCATTTCCTCAACCACATGGAAAATTCAAACTTGCAGAAAAAAACCAGAAAAAACCGAACCCAGATGAATAAATAACATTTTCCTTCCGGGTTTCGGAAAATGATTGAAAAAAACAATAATTTCCTTCATCCAATGGTCGAATTGTGATACCAGAACAATCAAACATGCAGAAAAAAACAAACCCAGATAACAAAAACATAAATAAAAAAATATGAACAATTAATGTTAAGAAAAATGAAAATTTCACAACCTGTGCTAATCTGATGAGCGGTTTCTGGGATTTCGGTACTTTCTTCATCATGAACCTTCCTAGAACCGGAATGAGCTTCACTAGTAGAATCCATAGTCGACTCTTGAGGATGTCCTTGCCCCGCCAGGAGCCACTCGGTGATGGTTATCTGCTCTTCCCCGTCCTCCTCCGCTGGCTCCGCCTCCTCCTCTGCTTCCGAGATATCAGTAACTGCCAGCGTATCCCTCCTTTTTATAGGCCCCAGCTGAATTCAAGCGTCCAATTCCACTTCAACCAGCAAAAGGTAGCACCCAATTTGAAAATTAATTAAATTTGAAATCTTTTCAACGAATTATTCTTTTCAAAAATTTAATTAAATTCCAAATATTTTTTGTGTAATTTCGCTTTCGGTATCTCCCCCCGGATTTCTTCGCCGCTCGTATCGGTTTGGCGCTGCTTTGTCGGAGGCGCCTGAGATGTGTTGAACATCCCAAAAGGTATCTTATAAATTCTCGACGCGTGGGGGTTCGTTAGATTTGGTTCCCCACCTGCTTTCTCTCTGGGAGTGTGTGACCATTCTGACCATTGACAGTTGTGCGCAGAGAGTCATCCTGGTTTTTCATGTCGACGAGCAGATAACCCACTCTAACGATACCGATATTGTTGTCTGGGGTTTTATTATAAAAGACATCAGTTGGTTATAGTGGGGTAATTCTATTTAAATGAGTCTTTCTCCTTCCTTCTATTCGATGTGGGACAAACTGTGTTTCAACATTCCCCGCACGTGAGACCTTATTTTATGGGCCGCATGTGAGACCATATTTTATGGGTCACACGTGGAGATCCGCACATCAGCAATCACATGGAGCCAAGTCAGGGCTCACCCATCGAGCAGGGCCAAACGGGGACCCAACCAATCACGTGGCAATACATGCCCGTCCTTTGGTTTTGATACCATGTTGAATTTTTCAGGTCGACAGGCCAATGACCCACTCCAACAACACCAATACTGTCCCCACACTTTACCACCTGCCCAATCCTCAAGTGTGAGGCTTTATCACAAAAGGCATCGGTGTTAGTTAGAGTGGGGTAATTCTATTTAAATGGGTCTTTCTCCTTCCCTCTGTCCGATGTGGGACAAATTGTGTTTCAACATCCTCAATTTTGGGATCGCGCGCATGAGAAAGTGCCACGACAGTCGTGGACTTTTGGAGCCATTAGATTTCGGTGAAGTTTTGTTATGTACAAAATTATTTTGAGAGTAACTTATATGAAACGCGTTCATCGTCTGACATTCTGCTCCTGTAATGTCATGTTGAGCAAAATATACTGTATTATTGAATTGATATGCTATATTGGCAAGAAATTTGTTCGATATAAGTTATTCTTCGACAATGAAGAGATAGCTTATTAATAAAACCGACACATTATGATGGGGAATGTAAGCCTTGACCTAGTTTTATACTATTTTCTAAGATGGGTGAGTTCAAGAGCATGTTATAAACTCGAAGGAGACTTATGATCAGTTGGTCTAGTAATGTTCAATCGTCACTTGGTTGGAGAGAGTAAAACTTTCTTATAATCAAGGTGTAGTTTTAGTGATATCGCATGTCCGATAGATACTTGTCGTGTGTTCAAAAAGTACACCATCAATTCAATAAGTGTTTGGCACTCGATGCCCTTATTAGAAGAGAAATATCTCAGAAGAGATTTTAAATCAACAAAGCTTAATGCAATGCACAAAATTATAGCTACTTATCATTGTAAAGCATTGTCAATTACCACGGAATGGTAGATTGGGACGAATATGAAGTATGTATTTCATACTGCACATCTTGAATTAGGTTCTGACGGTTGTGAATTACACGATAATGGTAAGGAAGGGTTCAAGAATTCCAAAAAGCTAGACTGTCGAGGCAAAAACACCAACCTGTCCTTTTAAAAAAATCATTGTAAAGCATCGGCATTTACATTTATTAGTTTATTCCAAATAATTTGAGGTCCCTTTAGGAAGAATCTCTCTAAGATTTTTATTTCCTTTTTCCTAATATATCTTGAATTGATGGCTACCAACCCAACCGTCTTTTTTAAAATGTTGACAAGTTTAATATGGTATTTCAACTTGTTCACAATGAAATGATTGGAAATCGTTTTCATTCAACTGTTTAGGTGTGGAAATCGCAAAATGTTTTCAAACATTAGAAGGGAAATACTAATAAGACTTTTTTAAAAGTAGAACTTTTAATAGGCTCTTCGTCATTTTATGTCTTTGGTATAATACTGATGTCAACATTATAAATATTATGTAAAAAACATGAGATAATAGAGATTTCATGAATCCTACTTTGAGATAGTCTTCTTACAATTTCTCACATTAAAAAAATATGAAGTGTCGTAATTAAATAATCTTCTAATGAAGTGCCGTAACTAAACAATCTTCTAACATTATTGAGAGACTAAAAAAGAATTTGAAATGAAGAGACGGGAACCTAAAAATCACAACCATTCCTCTTCATGCACTTCTAAAAAAAATAATCCCAACCTTCAAGTTTTAATAAATTAAAGAGGGACAAAAATAAAAGAAGTATGAAATCAGGTTTCACTATTCTAACCACATTTCTATAGAACTCGTTTGCAAGAAGCACTTGTAGTGCTACTTTAAAATCCACTTGGATTTTTATTAAAGATTGGTTTCAAAAATATTTTCACCAAAAGCGCTTTCAGTAATTTTAAAAGCACTTTCAAACAAATCCTAGTATTATGAATAGGTAGTGATATCCACACTCATTTTTACTTTTTACACACCCCTTTCAATGTTCAACAGTCTTATCAAATGAATTGAAAAAGATCAACGATAAAAAATTAATAAGAATGTATGAGAGATAAAAAAATGAATGTGAATAACACAGAATTTGTGTAGTTTTCATATGGTTAATGATATATTCCACAAATTAAAATATATTAGTTATTATTAAATTCTACGCATTATATTTAAATTTTTTTAGTAGAGCGATATTGTTAGTATGTTAGATGGTTAGCTATTAAAAGAGAAAAAAATCAGTAAATTTTGGAACCGTACCAAATTGCATAGACATAATTTTTTTTTATTTTTTTATTTTTTTGCTACTTTAGTATGTATCATTTGGTGAGCATAAAAAAAGGACTCCATATAACCATGGATAATGATTGCATGACTAAAGTAATTTCTCTTCCTTCTCATTCCCTTCTTTTAATTTAAAGCATTCAAAAAGAATCTAATGTGTTGGAGTTGTGCCACATGTTTAACGAACCTTATTTAAGTTTTCTTAATTGCTTTTGTTCAAACACAATTGAATCAACAAACCATGCACACAAAATTTTCCATCAAATGCTTGAACCTCTTCAACACCAACGGAGAGAAGAAGGCCAACCACGGTTGGCGACTTGGCGTGTGCGAGAGGAGAAGGGTAACTGGTGAAGTTAATTGGGGTAGAGAAGAGGAAGGATTGTTGAACAAAAGCAATAAAAAAATGAAAAAAAAAGGTTCGATAAATATGTGACATAATTCCAACTCATTAAATTTCTTTTAAACGGGAATAGATTAAAAGAAGAGTCGGGAGATGAGAGAATTCAAGTCCAATATTAATAGTGGGCTTTTCCTTCTTAAAACAGTCTCTCTTTTTTTTACTGAAAATCCCCGATCAACAATCATGGATTCTCAGAAGTTGCAAAACATTGGACAATGGAAGGAAAAGAAAAGAGGGGTCGCACTCAGAATCCCACTACGACCGTTGCTTAACGTAAAGAAAAAAATAATAGGCATCGATCTTTATGTGCTTTGCACTAAAATTTGGATGCTTTGAGATGAGGCTGCTTTCATTTTCCTTTTGTTTAGGGCTTTGGTGATTGATAAAGTGATTCCATCGTTTTCAAAGGCTCTGGTTTTTGGAGTTTTGGTCGTGTAAAATAATAGAAATGATGATGTATGTTCCTCGAAAGCTTTCGAAACTTTATGTCATTCACATCAATCATTACGTGCACTTACGAGTAAATTCGATAATGTTTATGTAGAGAGCACTTTTTCTCCTTTTTATTGAAAGCATGATAATCTTTTATATTAAGAATTTAAGTGTTTTACATCAAGTACTCGTATATGATTCTTCCAAAAAAATAAATAAATAAACTGCTAAGACCCTAAGCCTTGCTCGCTGTTTGACCAACTCCTAGCACCTTTTTTTATTTTTATTTTTTAAATTTCAATTAAATTATTATATAACAATAAAAATATATAAATAAATGACTACAATTGATTGAATTCATAAAATGAAATATGTATTGAGAGTTATTCTATAAGAAACCGTCTAGAGCTGCCTAGACCGCCTAGACGGCTGCCTAATTGCGGTCAGGAGACTTCACCGATTTCTAAACTCCTAGACCCTAATTGAGATGCCCGTCCTCTGCCTAAACCACTTTTTAGAATAGTGCAATAAAGTACCAAAATGTGCTTTTATAATCCAGAGCACCTTTTTAGTTATGGGAAAATTTAGCAAAACTTCTTGAATTCTAGACCATGTTCTCGTTCACTTCTGGTTATGAAACCTCCGAAAACTTTTAATGTGCCAATATATTTCTAATTGTTAGTTTTTATTCCGTATGTACGATAGAAGCTTCCGAATTTACTGCACATGTAAGTTACAATTCATGTTAAACTTTCCTCAAATATGAAAATTCAAAGTATTTACGAATTTTCCTTGTGAATGTAGCATTTTATTGACTCATATGCCACTAAAAATTGATCATGCGCATTACGCAATGATTAAATTAACATAATTGTGACCAAATTGGTGGTCAGGAGATTACTAAAAAAACATATGTAAAAAATAAATTTTTTTTTTTGGGTAAATTAGATAAAACTACCATAACTATTGGGCCAGTCATAATTTCATACCCTATCTTTAAAAAAATTCAATATCATACCTTATCTTCGAATTTGTTGCAATGTCATACATTCCATCATTTACCTGTCAATTGCTTTATTAAATGCTGATATGACTTGAGCTGGGCCCACTTTCTATTAAAAATTTAATAAAATATTAAAAAATAATAATTTACCCTTAAAAAAATTTTAAAAAAACCATGACCCCATCCCCATCCCTGCAACCTAAATCCAAAACCACCCCAAACCCAAATCCCACCCATGCCAACATCATCCCCCCCCCCCCAGACCCACTTCTTATTTCTCTGCTGTCGCCACATCATCCTATTCTTCCTCCTCTTATCCAACCCCCAAACTCAAATCATTAAACCCTAATTGCACCCTCCTCTGCAAGCACTCGCCGTTGCCCACCCTCGACCTCCTCATCCTCATTCTCGCCTTTTTCTTTGGGACCTTCCTCATTACATCCTACTTTTCCTACATCTTCAACTCCCTTTCGCTTCTCCTCTCTCACTCCACCCTCCATCTCCACCACATTCTTGTCCCCTACGTTGTTGGCTTCGTCACCTTTTTCGTCGCCACGCTGTTCGTAGTCAAGTTCTATTGCGTCAGCGATGGCAATCCTAATTACGAGTGCCTCAGGACTGAGCTTAGGTGATTGACGACAACGAATGGGT